ATCAACAGTCTCACTTTCAATAAATGCATAATTAAGTATAATCCGAGTAATTGAAATGCTTATAACATTTTTAACGGCAGTACATAATTCAAAGGATTTCACAAAATACCCTACTGGCGTCCCAAGTAGGTCACCTATATACCCCATCAACGTCCTGATGGGTCCACGTAATCCCTATCGGCGTCCCAGATAGGTCCACTTAATCCCTGCAGGTCCACTTATACCTCACCGGCGTACCGGATGAGTCCACTTAATCCCTACCGACGTCCCAGATAGGTCCACTTATACCTCACCGACGAACCGGATGAGTCCACTTGCATACTTAAATTATTTCTAAATCTCTTTAAACATTCGAAAGCAGCAGTATCATGTACTCAACATATCACTGAAATCATTAATATGAATTTCACTTAAACCATTAATAACAATCACTCTATATAATATTTCAAAAATAACCAATCAAATATTTTGGGCTCAAATTTAGAAAGGTAGCAGTTTGTGAAGGCATTCTAGCATAATTGCTAATTTAATATGTATAGAAAAACTCTTACAGAAATTCAAGAATACGGAATTATCACAATTTATGGGATATCAATCCACAAATAAACATTTCACAACAATATTATAATCAACTGCAAAAATATCAATTTTCACAACAATATTATAATCAACTGCAAAAATGTCAATTTTTAAATAATAAGGCAGTCATTTGCACATGAATTTTTCAATGTCTAAATATTCAAAACAGTAGAAGGAAATATCACAATTTAGTTTTTTACTAAAAGCAGAAATATCACATTTATTTCTAACAATAAACAAGAAAAATAAATAAATTTATTTTTCTAATTTACAGCATTCAAAATTTCTAACATAGATAAAATATCACAATTTTTATAAAAAAGATTATTTTTCAAGATAATGAGGTCACGTGCGCATAAAATGTATCGCGCCTAAAATTCATGATAATAAGTAGAAATAATTATTTCATTTTATTTTTAAAAAGAATGGATTATTTTTCAAGACAATGAGGTCACTTACACACAAAACTGATAAAATAAAGATCCTAGACGGAAATATCACTATTTATTAAAAATAGACTATTTTTCAGAAAGACGATGTCACTTACACACAAATATTTGAGAGGGAGCTTCCGATAAAAATTCGGTTCGAGAGAGGAGTTCACTGTGTTTCGACCAGAGAGAGAGATCTCAAAATTTTCTAGGGTGGGAGTGCTCACCTCCCCTATTTAAATTCTTATAACGTATTATTATAATATTTTATTACGCTCGACCTCATACCTGAGGTGTCGCGTTAAGCGTCTGCTTTTAACATACGAAAACCACGTCCGCTAAAAGATGTTGCCACCTGCAAGCAACAACTGCAAAGGCTGCAAACAAAAGCAGCAGCAAAAGTTTAAACCAAGTAAAAAGTTTTGAAAATAGTGATGGTCCCCAAGGACCATCATACTCAATCAGACCATCACCTATTTAAAAGCATCTTTTCTTCTTTTTTTTTTTTTTTTTTGAAATTTTTAGAATTGTTACAAAAGTCCATTTCTTTTTACATCCATGTATCTCAAGGTCGAGATGATAGGATTTGAGGGTTGGTTTTTCATAAAATATTTTTGAGGTGCGCCTTGATTTGATTGTTTAGGGCCTCAACCTTATATAAACATTTTCCATAAAATATTTTCCAAAACATAATAAAAGAACATCTCAATCCATAGCATAATTTGCTGAGAAGACTGCAGATGTTGATGGAAGCTGCAAATCTTGAAGGGCTTTTGACATTTTCCTTACTTGAACAATTTGAAATCAAGCTCAATTTCTCCCCCAATAAGTTGTCTTCGACAGTGGACTCACTTGCATTGTGGCCTGTCAATGCATGGTATTTAATGTACTGTCAGACTTGCATTGATATGGGAATAGGGTTGAGGTCCGTGAACCTCAGCCACCGGTCAAGGTTTTCATTCCTACTGATACATTTGAAAACCATTAATTATTTATAAAAATAGGTAGGAGCCAGTATTCTCCACCGATCTACCCAAAAAAAAAAAAAAGACTTGAATTGGTACAAGTGAGCTTTTGTAGGTGCTACTGTTATTGCCCATGATGGCTTCTTCATTTTTGGTACACATTGATGAGATGGGTTATGTCCAAATTAGCTGCACATCTTCCATGACTGCCTTCAAACAGGGGAGGCTGCACATGGAAGAGAGAGTAAGTGGAAGTCCTTTAAAGGGGAGGAAAAAGAGAGAAAGAGGAAGTCCATAATGAAAACCCTTTAGGCCCTGTTTGATAATTGATATAGTTGTTTTTCTAGAGAATCTCCGTGAAATTGGAAGCCAGAGAAAAATGTAGTAGAAAACTCTGGCTAGAAGCTAAGAACCCATGTTTGAATAACATGTATGTGAAAACCAGAGAAACTTCAAACCAGAACTTGGGCAAAGAGAGATTGCGAGATAAGAGAGATTGTGAAGTTGAAGAAATAAAACAGGGATGGGGGGCTCGCGTTTCCTCCCTTTTCATAAGAAATCGATAGTGTGCCCCTTAGGGTATGTTGCACTTTTCCATGAAATTTGGGAAAAGCATAGAAATGTGAGGCTCGGTGTTTTCATGCTTTTCTTCATTATCAAACATGAGAAAATGTGGTAACTGGGAAAACATGTTATTTTCTCATGTTTTCTAAGTTATCACTTAAAGCTTTTTATGTTAAGAAAAGAAAAGTGGACATGTACTTAACAGAGGATTTTCTGAGAAATGTGCATTTCTATGGGGTGATTTCCATTATTTCCCAAATTTATATATAATTGTGCTTTTCTATATAGTTCATTAGAATTTGTAAAATTATAGAATGTCATTGGTTCCCACAACTTCTAATGATGTATTAGACATTCTCAAGTATTAGAACATAAATTATAAGAGCCATTAATTGTTGGAGGACTGTATCAACCGTAGACATGGTGCCACTCAAATGGATCAAATTAGTTGATAGGACTAAATATTCGAATAACCAAAAGGTCACGGTTTCGATGAGTAAGCTGACTCAACTATTACGGGGTGGTCCCTAGTCTATCTAATGTTCATATGTAAGATGTCAAAAAATGTTATAAATTAATGGTGACGATATGAAATTAAAAAAATAACACATTTTTAAAAAATAAAATTTCCACGTTTAGATCATTGTTATGGTTGAGATTATTGAACTCTGAAATTTTAGATCGAAAATATATCTTTGAAATACATTTTGTAAGGAGACTGTACAATAATAGTGTGAGCCAGCCGAAAAAACCCGCTACGGTGCACTGGTAAATTTTAATTGGAAATGCATTTTATTGAAAATTTGAGCACTGGCCAACTCTATTGCGGATGCCCTTGTCAAAGATTGAGCGAGAGAAATAAACTACACCAGAAACCATTATGGTACCTTTTTTTCGCTGGGCTGCAATATTATATGAGTCATTTTTTACGATGTACTAGTGCTAATTTCTGGTTGCCACAATATTTTGTAATCGTTTGCTTATTGAAATACAATATCAATAGGTGATTTAAAAAACACCGGGTCGACATGGAATCACCTCATCGTCGCAAAAATCGGTCACCCCATTCCGATTCTGTATATATATAAAAAAACGGTAGAATTTCAATTTTATATATATATATATATATATAGAAAAACGGTTGGATCTAAAAAAAACTGGTTTGACACAGTAAAACGACGATTCTCTATAATAAAGCAGCGATCCGAACTGTCAATTCACCAATCCAGACCAATTTTTTACCGGTTAACTATTTTTTCACATGTTTTTTCGTTGTTCACTGTTTTTTTTTCCATGTAATAGTAAAACAGCAATCCGAACTGCTAATTTACCAATCCATACCAGTTTTGGGGTGCCCGATATAAGTCACTAATCCATTTTTTAAATCACAACATTCACAAAAAAAAAAAAGAGGTGCAGGGGAGTAAGTTACTCTCACATGCTTTATGATCCACGTACATGATCAAATGAGCAAAATGCTCTTTATGTAGAACTTCATGGATCAAATGAGTAAAATGATCTTATGTAATGGAAAATAGGCGTTCTTAAAGTGAACTTCCATCTCTCACACTGCGTTGATCTGCTCTTTTGCTATCAATACACAGCACAATGGTCGTGTGCTCAATCAATTTGGGAAAGGGTTCATTTTGTTCAGGCTACTGACAAGACTCTTGTTGAAGTTTAACATTCGCACATACACATAAAAAAAAAAAACCAATGGAATTGAAACATAGTCATTGTTCATCATTTAACTAAGACCCTATATGGTTTACGGGTTTCATTACAAAGAGACCATTTATATTTGAAAAAAGTTTTATATAAAGTTGCAACTTTAAAATGTAGAATTAAAGTGCACCTTTAAAATCCATTATAGAAGGTTATTTTGATGTTGAAAAACCCTTTAATTGGTCGTCTCAACATCAAAATGTATGAATATGAAAAGAAAAAAAAGATTTGGAGTCCTAAAAATAGTACATCTTATAACAAATTATTTGGAACATCCATTATCAAGATTTCCAAGTGTTTCTAGATTTACTTGATTTTAACCATTCTTGGAGTTTAAGATTTTATATTTAGAGACAAAAATAGATTCTCAACAAGCCATCCTAAGAAATTTTGACACCAAAATTTGATTGTTTAAAGTTACAACCTTAGATAAACCATAAATCTTTTGTACACGTAGATCACAATCATTCTCATTCATTAGATGTCAAATTGGATGGCTTGGAGTGAATCATGAAGTCTGAAACTTTTTTTTGCAGAACTTTCGTTTATTCAATGACAAGCTTACAACCACCTATTTTAAAATTTTAGGGATAAGAATGATTGTGACCTCCATGTACAAAAACTAAATAGTCGCTTTATAGACAAGGCCATGATGTAAGAGCAAGTATTAGAAATATGCGGAGCAAAGTATGAAGACATTAACAGGAAATCTACATCACTAATCTATAGGTACAAATTTATACTAAGGGCCACAAATATATTTCACTAATGCATAGGTCCACATATATAGCAAATACTGAGAAGACAATTAAAGGCAATACTCCACACTGTTAGATGGATCCATGGGTCCATCAATATACAGAAAACATAAGCTCATCACAACAAACATAACTATCTCAATATGCCGAGGAACATTGAGAATTAAAGGCCACACTCCACACACTCATAGATAGGTCCATCAATATATAGAAAACACAAGCTCATCACAACAAACAGTAATATGCCGAGGCACTCGATCTCCCCGTAACTAGTAAGAAGGATGGCCCATGATCCGCTTCACAAGACCCCAATTATCCTGCAAAAATAGGCCATAACTAATGCCATATAGAGCCTCATAGTGGACAATAACTCCATTGACAAAAAAGGGAAAGTATATAATAAGGCCGACTACTTTTGAACAAAAAGGTCACAATCACCTCGGACCGTTGGATGTGAAATGAGGTGGCTAAGCATCCAGCACTGATAGTGCTTGAAGACTGGGAAAATTGTCGGTGGACTTTTGTGCAGAAAAATGACACACTCCAGCCATATAATTGTTCATCAAATCTGATGGCTTGAAGTGTTTGTGACCTTTGTGTATGAAGGATTGCAATCCCATTGTATACAATCCCGATAAACAAAGATGCATTTTCTTATTAAAATTTGCCTACTGTGTCAACCATTATGGGCCACAGTTATAATTCCTAATTTCCAAATTAGTAGGCAAGGCAAGTCGAAGAAGACTTTTGAAACTTCAAAAGGAAAAATATCAAATGAGGTCAAGAATAAATCCGAAAAAACAATTGCAAACAATTGCATAACCCTTTTCTCGGTGAAAAGGAAAGTTGTTCACTCTATATTTCCAAGAGGAATGATGAAGAACAATTCCAGAGTACACCACAAGTTTAAGTTTCAATACGAGTAATTTTTAATGTCATCCAATTGCTCACGTGATCCGACAGCTAGTAGCATTAAACCTCCAATCTTCAGCATTATTTTGATTTGAACAAAATCATTTTTAATATTGAATTTGAATACAAGTCTTGGACTACATAAGGGACTCTTGCCTATCATAAGTTGCACGCATTCCTGAAGAAGGAAACCAATGCAAATTTGAATGAGAATTTGTTAGGGTTGATGGGTTTCGAAGGATTGAACAAGATTAGCACACTCGCAACATTTCTTTTTATAATCCAAGTTTGGAGCTGTTATCCCCAACTAACCCACCTAAAGAAAGCCTATAATTTTTTGTACAACTAAATCACTCATCTTTGCTGCACCTTGCTTTTCCATATGTTCGCTTTTGTTGAAGATAGCATCGAGTTAAAGTAAGCATGCTTGCTACTTTCTACACTTGAACAGAGCACAAAAGCAGGGTATTCAGCGTGTTCAATCTTCTCGTTCTTTTTTCGCTCTTATACAGCAGTTGAGACTCATTGGCTATGTGAAGAAGAGTTGATAGGGGATTAGTCACCCAAAAATAAAAAGAAAGTTGGGTGGGAGAATTTCAGATCTCCTAAATTCGATAGCAACATGGAAGCTCAGATCTGTCCAGTAAAGGCTAAGATTGCAATGCTACCCAGATTCATAGGCCTCTGAATGAGTTAGTATCATTTCTTTTATGTGGGATTGTTTAGAATACAACTAGTTGTCACATGTTAGAGAAGGAAGACCAATTTATTCATGCTTAAAGGAGCCATGGACTTGGATATGCAGAGCTTGGTACCTTGGCAGCAATAGCGAATTTCAGGTGAAGGGAGAGTGAAACAATTAAATTGGTATTGAAGACCCTTTGGTATCACACACACAAAACAAGAGAGGTTATCATGACGACGATGATTAAGTGTTTAAACAATCTGAGACTCAGGCTCTGGAGTCACCTAGCCTGGGGCCATGGGACTCGACCCGGGTCTCCCCTCAACCCAAATTTCTTTACTTATAAATTGCTGTCCGACTCGGGACTTGTAGAGTCAGACCGAGTGATTCAGGATTGGCAAGTCCCACACGAGTCTGCCTTTTTAAACACTGATGATGACAAGTAGGTTGATGTTGGTCTCTTTTACATGTTTTGCTTGCATTGTTACAAGCAACATTTCTAGAAGAAGCACTAATTTAGCCACACCAACTCACTTAAATTTGACAAAATCTCAAGGAGAGTATTCATTAAGAAGTTTCAGTGCATCACTCCCGTTGCTCGTCGATCGCATGTATTTTCAGATATGAAATGCATCACTAATACTAACAAAGCAATAAAAACCACAAATCCCAATCCCTGCAACTGTTAAAATGAAGAAATGCAAAAACAAGGATTAGGGCTGAAACTTACAGTGTGAGTGTTAATAGCGGACAGTCTTCCAGATCTGGTTGTCACCTTTCTTCCACTCCCAGAGAACAACTGCGGTTCCATCACGAACCCCTCCGTGCTTCTTATTACCATTGAACGCGTCCAAATTGAGGCGAATGTTGTTGACCATCCTGATGCACCTGAACCCTCCCCTCACTTCCTCGCTCTCGGTCCATAATATGGACTCATCCAATTCATTATCTCCCTTGTATGGGGTCAGCTGAACCTGTATTTCCAATAAAGCATAACAAATAGAAGAGGCTAAGAAGGCAATACTAATAGATCATACGTCTCTCGTAATTCCAATAAAGCATAACAAATAGAAGAGGCTAAGAAGGCACTACTACTACTCTCTCTCTCTCTCTCTCTCTCTGATCATACGTCTCTCGTATTTCCAATAAGCATAACAATAGAAGAGGCTAAGAAGGCACTACTCTCTCTCTCTCTCTCTCTCTCTCTCTCTCTCTCTCTCTCTCTCTCTCTTCTCTCTC